CAGTTTTTGCACTTATACTTATACTTAGCAGTATTCATTTTTACCACATTTTCAAGTATTGAATTAAAAATTCGTTCTAACCGCTTTTAGATCATCATACAATGATTAAACTATTTCGATCAATTATTGAATCACTCCACTTTGAACCGATCCACTGTCAAATCATTATCGAATCACTGTCAAACCACTATTGAATCGCTGTCCATCCACTTTGAACCGCTATCGATTCACTTTGAACCATTATCAAACCGCTATCGAACCACTATCATTATCGAACTACTGTCAAACCACTATTGAATCACTTTGATTAACTGTCGGACCCTCGAGAAGATAGAAATAGTATGTTATATCATATTACTTTCTATAAAACATGAACCGCTATTAAATCATTATCGAACCGCTATCAAATCACTTTGAACCACTATTGAACCGCTATTAAAGGGATCCTAAAATAACGGGAATTACCAACATATTACAGTGCACCAAAGAACTTTTTATTGGCTTGATGCAAAATTTTTGGATTTATGATTGAAAGCTTAGCTAGAAAAAATTTAACACTTGAACAGACTGTGTATTTTACGCGTATATATATGCTTGGCGCAGGTATAAAATGATAAATAGAGCAGTAATTGCAGTTGACAGATTTTGCAATAGATGGCGCTGCAAAGGAAAGACAAGGACAAACGACGGAATCGATAAAACGTTTAATAAACTTGCTTGCTAAAATAAAAAAATAAAGTGATTTAATTTTTTATCCATTTTCTCGACCATCCCGCACTTCATTTTTTGTGCGTATTTCAATTACATGAAAAGATTTTGCAATAGTCAATTCAAAGATTCATGCCGGCTGTAATGTGTCAATAATAATCCCCTCTCCCCCTGTCAGTATTTTTAATAAAAACAGTCAACATATAACTTTGTGCTTTTACTTTATATTGTAACGATAATGAGGGTTTTGGTCGAATGAATAATCGAGACGTAGATGAGGATATCGGCTTTATTAATATATTCGATTCGGTTCTGAGTTGCGAACAATGAATGTGACGCGTCCAAAGAAGCAGGAAGAGCGCGACGCTATCAGTCAGAGCGGGCCCGGTAACGCTTGAACAAGCTATAAATTGATACGTATCTGGGACCATACGAATCTGGCCGCGAGCAGCTGCGGAAGTCCGGAGCATGGGATTCCGCGGTTCTCCAATCCCCGGGCCGTTGAACGATGATCCAGTGCCAGCACCGAGGTTCACCTCCGTCGAGCACGTCGACGCCACTCTCGCATCGAATAATCGCATCTATCACCAGCGCGGCTCAATTCCATCGGGTCAGGAAGGTAGAGTCTGAGTTGCACTTCCTCAACCATAGACGTCTGCAATCGTCGCGCCCCACGGCAGTTCGGAATTCTTTCGGCTTCTCTCCACCTCGAGGTGACTTAGAGCGAATGTGT